GTCTAAAATGAAGGGGCTGGACTAGATGATCTTTGAGGAACCTTCCCATTTTCAGTCTATGACTTTGACTTCAATGGGCCTCATTTTCTTCATGTATAAAATGAAGGTGTTGGATTTGAAGACCTCTGAGTTTCCTTCTGTCTCTAGAGCTGGGATCCAGTGGACTTCAGATAGCATCCCCTCCATTTTTTTTCTAGAGGAAATAACAGAAGCTCAGGGAGGCAAAGGGAATAGAATTTGAAGGATGATTAGAACCCAGGTCTCCCCAATTCCAAGCCCAGAGCTCTATTTCCATGACTCTAGATTGCTACTTTCTGAGGCAGGGAACCCAATCCTAGTTCTTGAGCTCACCTTCCCTAGAAGACAAGGCCAGTAACTCGAGGTCATTTCAAGCAGGGGAATTCCTTGGAGCTAGGAAACTTGGATGGAAGTTTGATCTCCTTATGAATCAAAGATGCTCAGAACAATGGGCCTGAGTCATACCCTCTCTGGCCCCGTAAGAACTCAGGTACCGTGTTACCCAGATGGTTTGATCCCCAGCTCAGATTTTCAGATATGAATGGAAGCAGGAAAAGCATCACTTCCCAGAGGATTGAAGGGACTTTGTTTATAGCTTCCAAGTGAAAACCCTGTAAAGCTGGTAAGAATCAACAGCTCTTCCTGAGGATATAGACTGATTTTTCATTTTGCTTAGGTCACTAAAATCCTCAAATCCTGGTTTACCCTTGCCTAAAGTCTCAGGATGTGAACTAACCATCCAAGACACCTAAATCCCTCTGTAAGCCAGAGCTACCCACATTCTCAGACTATGCTCCCTTCTCTGCACCTATACTCCAGACAAACTCAACTGCACTCTATTCCCCATAATCACATCTCATGGCATGGGCCCCAAGACTCAATTAAGTCTAAGCACAGTGCCTGGCACACAGTAGGTACTTAATAAATGTATATTGATTGATCGACTAATAGTGTGTCTAAGGCTTACCATAGTGCCTGGCACATAGTAGGTACTTAATAAATGCATATTGATTGATCGACTAATAGTGTGTCTAAGGCTTACTATAGTGTCTGGCACATAGTAGGTGCTTGATAAATGCATATCGATTAACTAATGATGTGTCTAAGGCTTAGCACAGTGCTTGACACATAGTAGGCACTTAATAAATGCACATTGATTGATTGACTAATGGTGTGTCTAAGGCTTAGCACAGTACCTGGCACATAGTAGGTGTTTGATAAATGTTTATTGATTAATTGTCTACCTCAATGCCCCTAACACAGCAGCAGGACACAGTACAGACACTCACTCAATAGATGTTTGCTGATTGAATGATTGATTGATTTTGTCTTTGCTCATGCTGTTCCCTTAAGAGATAATGAGACATGGTAGAGAGAGGGATGAATTTGGAGATGGAGGACCTGAGTTCAAATCTAGGTTCTGACCCTTGCTACCTCTGTGATTTTGAGCAAATCACTTGACCTCCATTTCCTTATCTGGAAAATGAGGGAATCAGACTTGAAAGTGTCTGAGATGTCTTCCAGCTCTGACTTGATAATACTATGACTTGAGAGTGAGAAGACATGGATCTCATATCCTGGATCTGGCATTTATTTGTTATGGAACTTAGAGAGAGTTAGTTTACCTCCACGGGCCTCAGTGTCCTCATCTGTCCACAACAAAAATATACAGGAAGTTGAATGAGATGCTTTTGAAAATTCTAGCTCTAATAATT